CTGTTCGTAAGGACCGTTACACACTATATTAAAAATTACATTCACTATGCTATAAATGCAAATTCATTGCGTGCTATCTGAAAGGTTTGTTGTTTTTTTTTCTGTGCTAGTTCAGGTGACGGTGGTGGATTCTCATCAGATGAGCTGCAGACTTCTGATGCCTGATTTTGTGGATCATAAATTGGACGACTACATATCCAGAGTCCTTACACGGTGAGTCCAACATTTTGCATCACTATTGCACATGCTCACTAATTATGATGCCATTTTGCATATGCAAACTGTTTTGTTAATCATATCAATAACAAACTCGATACTTAAAGGCTTAGTTCATGCAAAACTGAATATTGTCATCAGTTACAAAAATTATGTTCCTCGCCCAAAACTTTGCACGAGTTCATAAATGTTACTGCTGTAAACAAAGCAGCTGTGCATATAAACACTAATATGCATTATACAGAGGCGAGAAGCAAAGAAAATTGTATTTGCACTCGCACAAATGCTCCAAAATATATTTTTAGGTCGCACAGATTAAATTTCGGGAGCATATGCGACCAAAACGGTCACAATTTCCTGCATGGAGGACAAAAGATATGGTGAACAAAAGCTCAAACGTATGAGACAGAAATCTCTCCGGTTTCATTCAGAATATCTTCATTTGTGCTTCGAAGATGAACAAAAGCCTTGGGTTTGAAAGACCATGAAGGTGAACAACCTGATGGCAGAATTTTATGGTGGAACTATCAGCTTACAGCAAAAATGAGGTTATGTACTGACTGAATCCTCAGAGCTCTGCAGATTTCCATAGAATTTAAACGCCCTCTTATTTGTAGAGTCCAGACCTTCCATGTTTACTAAACATTTTGCTTTCACCTTCCTGTAAGCATGTAGTGCTCTCAGATTTTATGTGATTAAACTCCCTCTGTCCTTGAATCCTCACTCACTCTTGTTTTGTGTGTGTGTGTGTGTTTGTCCAGATGCATGTCCATCCCCATCACGATGAGGGCCATACGCAGGAAAGTGGCCAGCCAGACGACGACTCCCGTACCTGCAGCTGACCCAGAGTCCTCTGCTGCGATGGAGAGCGATATAATCCGTGCCGTCCACCCATCTGCCTCCGTCTCCCATGAGGCCGTTGAGGATGAGAGCGTGGTCTCTCCTTCAGGCCACCATCTTATGTCTGTTGCTGCCCCAGTGGCTGATAATGCGAATACAGATGCTGTTGCTAACCGTTCCCCCTGTGCTTCTCTGGCTGTCTGTTTACACTGAGTGACCAGTGGACTTCCTGCAGAGCTTCTATAGGACGAGGAGAGATTTTACTACAGAGAAGTTTAAGAGATTTCTTACACCATTTTAGACAAATCTTAAATCATTAAATAAAAAATAAATCTTAAATAAAGGTGTGTTATCTTAAATGCTTATAGAAAGCCGTTTTATCTCATGCATGCAGGTCTGACTACTAGAAGTTAACAAGAAATCAGAGCTGTTCCTGGTCATATTGTGCACAGTTCAGCAGTGTGCATTTATTCCAGAGAGAAAAAATACTTCTTGCGGAATAATCTTAAACCATTACTAAACAAACGGCTAAATCCTGCATTTTAAAATGCATTTGTTTCATGCATGGGTTGCTCCTGACAGTGCTGCAGAATCTAGCTAGTGGTTGTGTGTGGGACACCGCTAGCATTTCTGCCAGCGTCTGAAATTAACACTCCACCAAATGCATAAAAATGCGGCTTTGGCGAGTATATGAAACTGTGTTACTTGCCAATTGGTGCAATTTATTGAATTGCATTTTGGAAAATGCAACAAGTGCCAACCATCTTCCCAAATATGTAATGAGAATCACTTATAAATCTGTGCTCAACAAAAGACATGCTTCAGAGTCTCCCTATGGTTTTCCACTAAAAAAAGCCTATTTTATCTGTTAACTCATACCTGTGATATTCATAAGTAACGTCTGCTTGTACTTTGTGGTCCGGGAATTTTATTGCCATTTCAATGCTTAAGCCACACTTAAAAATGAATTAATCTAACTGTATAAAATAAAACATCCAACCAAGTGCCATTTTTAATTAAGAATATTTTTAAAAGGCCCATGAATATGTGTAGCTTCAAGGAACATTTTCCATGTGATAATGTAGAGCATCCAAATGCAGTTATTACAGGCACACAACTGAAATAAGTATATAAAGTACTTCAAAACAACTATGACAATACTATCTGTTATAAATGTGACCTATAAGCATCACCCTCGTTGCTTCACTGCCATCCACAAATCCATAAAAAGTGTCCGTTGTATGCAACCCTCAAAATCTCGCTGGAAGTAGTAGGTCATCCAGGTACTTTTCACCTAATCGTTTACGAGTACTGTGAATTCAGACATGCTTCTGTTTTTCACCTAGTGAACAGTGTTGGGGAACGATACTTTTAAAAGTAGTGCATTACAATATTGAGTAACTTCCTTAAAAAGTAACTGATTGTGTTACTTTTTATCCAAATTAGTGTTACGTTACTTTTGTGTTACTTTTTTCCTCATCTTTCTAATTTGTATTATACATTGCATTATTGCAGGTTTGTGCCAGGTTTTGCATTTCTGTTTTTGTTCATTTTGAGGAATACTGAATCTGTTTTTGTGTAAGTGAGATGAGAAAATGCATGTAGACATTTAGTCTAGAACTACAGTACATGTTCACACAGCGCACACAACGCCTCTGCACTCCTGATTCCTCTTAATATGAGCACAGGAGAGCTGCAGTCAATACATGAGGAAACAAAGTAACTCAGATATCGTCTTGTAAATTAAAAAGTAATGCATTACTTTACTAGTTACTTGGAAAAAGTAATCTGATTACGTAAAAACCCCAACACTGGTAGGGAAGTATGTGATGCCTGAGATGCCCTGAGGTTGTTTTTTAAGACCTGACACCACTGTTACGAGGCTTTATGGCTATTAGTTAAAGTTTCAGCAATAAAAACAAACACATTACTACAAGTGCTACCTTTGGGGACACTGGAGCATGAACATGACCTTCTGCTCCTGGGCAAATGCAAACCTCAAAACTGAGTGTTTTTAATGATTTGCACCCCATCCTACAAAAGGAAGAAATGTTTAATATGACTAAAACCTCAGTATCTGACATTTAAAGTTCTCTCTAAGTTCTGTCCAAATCTCAGGTTTCACAGCCGTTTTCAAAACCACGTTTGAAGCACAGTTTGCTCAAGGGTTTCTTCCTGTTGTTGTGCTATCACATCTGCACATGTGTGTCTGTGTGTGCCAGCCTGCATCAGTAGAGCCCCAGAGACGGGAAGTAGATAGTGTTCTTGGGCTTTCTCTAGCTTGGCATTTGACCTCAGTCCAACATACCGCTGATTGGTACCATGCAAGCCAAACAGGCCGGTCACAAGTAGACGCTAAAGGTTTTCTCAAACTCTGTTCCAAGAAAAATAACTTTTGTGCAACCCGGCATGTTTTACAGACTGTGCTCAGATCTGTGTCTGATAATAAATGAATACATAACAACAGTCACTGGTATTTAGAGAGATCTCTTTAAAAATGTGTGGTCCGAACATGAAGTTGTAAGATCTTTGGCAGGAGTCTATTCACCTTTTGTCATAAAGAGAGAGATGTTGACTTCTAAAACAATACGTGTCCACCCATTCAGGGCCACCAGCACAAACACACAATGTCAGCACTTGCAAACAATAAGGAACTCTGTATCGTCGCGACAACATAAAGGTCACAGGCATTTACTAATTGATGGAAGTAATTCCTTGACAAAAATACCCTTGTGTATGATTCCTGTTTTGTTCAGAGGCGTCCGTTAATAGTCCCAAACGGCTTTATTCTGCACAGGAAGCCTGACTAACAATAGAACACACAGTAAGAATGCAGGCTAAAGGAAACATGCCCTGCCACTGATATTAATATATTATTTTATTAATGGCCCCTTGAGTATAACACAATTTTGAAATGCAGCAATACTAAATTCAGTTTATATTAATCCAAATATGTTAGTGACAAATGTGTTCAATGATGCATCTGCGTTGCAGTGTCAATTGGATTTCTTTCTTTCATCTTAGACTACATTATCACAGAACTAATTTGACTTTTTTCAACCATTTTGGCAATGTATTTTCATCAGATTTTAAAGTCAAGTTCTCACAAGGTCCACTAAATGTTGACTACAAAGTGCATATTATAATGCAATGGCATTCATCATGTTTCTTAAGTCTGAATTCAACCCTTCCACAATTTAAGGCCTTAAAAGATCTTAAATTTGTGCAGCAAGTCTTAAATTCATGCCATTAAATGTTGCATGCATTGCAAAAAAAAGAAATAATTTTATTTAAAAATAAATAAAAAATTGAACATACAATGGTCTTGTTTCTTGAAAAAAACAACTGTACATACTTCAAACAAGAACAAATATCTGTCAATGTGGAATGAAACCAGAAGTTTTCAAACCCTCAATTAATTTCAATCAATTTCTCATAAAACAAATAAAGTCAATATAAGAATCTTTAGACATTTGCACTGGAAAACAAGACCAAAATCCTGATGAAGAACATTTTTTTGCCGTGTCATTAGGTAAAATGATCATTGAACAAGTAATGGAGATTTCTCGGAAGCTGCATTTTTAAACTTTAAAGCATTGCTAAGACATTTATGTTTAGAGACTATATTGACATATTGTGTTGCATTCTATTTATTCCTTAAATGTTCTTTACTTGGTCTTAAATATCCTTAAAACGTTTTTTAAAAAATGAACTTGATTAATGCACTTTAAAGTGCTACTTAAGAGTCCGATACTTAATATTATATTGTATGTATCATTTTTTCTCATACCCGAAGCATTAGTATAAACTTTAGATGCACTGTCTGTGAGTGCTGGATGCTGATGTGTGGCATTGTAAACTGAGGCTCTGTTTAAAGCTGGCCCAGCCCCTCCATCTCGTCCTCCTACAGTCGCAGTGGAAGTGAGAGAGCTCGTGCTCTCGCCAGGACTGCTGGGTTCGGTCTGCGCTCTGAACACATGCATCATGGAGCTATACGTTTAGTCTGCTCGAGGACTTTGCCCGTGTAATCTGACTGCTTCAGATGTGTTACTGTGAGGAGAGACTATGTGTTCTTCGGGATGGGTGCGAACAATGGCAAACAGTGTGGAAGTGAAGGTATGTGATCTCCAAGAACTACAACACTTCACTTTCTGGGAAATTAAATGCTGGTTTTTAGTAACTGGCATGGACTTTTGGCTGTAGAAATAAAAAGTTGCCCTGGGTGAGTTGTAATAAATGATGCACATTTCGATTAAATCTAAAATGAGGGGAATTGCGCAGCATTGTTGATTTAAAAAAATCGAATCTAATAGGCAAATGTAAAAAATCACAAAGAAAAATGGTACGTGTATTAAAGCACAGCTAAATGCATGAGGCTAAAACATAGCCGAAGGGATTTTAGCTAACACCCATAAAACGTGGAATTAAAAAGAAAAAGAAAAGAAGAAAGAAAGAATAGTCCCTGTCAGCACAGAAGTCATCCTGAGACGCACTTGTCTCTGTCAGGCTGTGAAACAGCACAAATCACTGAAGCATGCTACGAATAGAGAGCTTGCCTGCTTTCTTTCCTTCTGTTTTTGGGGGCGGGGTTACCTGGCAAATGTACCTGCGGCCAGCAAGATTAAACCACGCCCACAACCACTGGAACGATACAGGCCACACCCACTACATAGAACCGCGACAGATGCAACACAACACGGTATTCCCTTAAATCAATTTAATTATGAAACTGTTTAGTACTTTTACAGTTTTTGAAGCCAAAACATTGTTCTTCCAACAAGCCTCTTATTTTAAATTGCCATCTTCTTTCTGCTAAGGATTTTAGGACAGTGTTATATTATATTTGTATTCCGTTTTCATGTTAGATCGTTCATCTTGCATTTTAGATACATTTTTTTTTTGTTTTAGATTTTATATTTTAGTACATCAAGTTAAGCTAAATGAGACTGAGAAATGTTTCCTTGGCAACTAGCTGAAATAAAATAAGTTTTTATATTTTATTTCAGATAATGTTTATTTTATTTGAAATAAAAAGAAAATTATGGTTTAGTTAACTATAACCATACACTGTAAAAAAAGAAAATCTGTGACATTTACGGTAAAACACCGGCAGCTGAGGGGGATGGTGTTCAAGCGAAGCCCTGGCATCCAGTCTATTGAATGAGGGGACTGTGACGATTTGTTAATCTAATGAATAATTGATTTGTTAAATCAAATAAAAATTAGTGTGTCAGATTGGTCGAGACGCTACAATACCGTATTTCATTAGCTGATGTAATGTTAATATACCAACATATTAAAGTGTTAATATCTGTTTTGAACCATTGTAATGCACTGATATCCACCAAAATCTAGTGGTGATGAGAAAGTCACATGATGAACCAAAGCTCATCACAAACAGCTTTTCTACGAGCTGAGGAGGACAATATTTATATATAGAAGGTGCACAGTCTCGTTCACACAAACACTAAACCCCATCATGGTGACACACACGATACTGAAATAATGCAATAACATTAATTTAACAACATTAGATGTAAGATTAAACCCTAATGTACACAACTGATAAGAAAAAACTAAGAAGAAACAGTTATTTCAACAACAAAAAAACATCAAATATTATGCAAAAATCATAATTAAAGCAGCTAAACATGTGAGAAGCTGCTAAGAAGAAGTACTGGAGAAGTTATGGTGATTCTGTAGGGGAGAAAGTAGATGTCAGTGAAGTGTGGGGTATGATCAGAAAGATGGGTGGTTTTTAAAGAAACTTTGGTCTACCTGTTCTGAGTAATGTGGAAAGAATAGCTGTGACTAATGAAGAGAAGGCAGAAATGTTAGCAGACGCGTTTGTTAAAGTACACAGTAATGATAACATAACAGAAGTATTGAAAATAAATAGATGGCAATCTAAAAACATCCAAATATCATGATAGAGTAATGACCATCGTGATATGAAATTTACATGAAGTAAAGAGCTGTTGGGGGAGTTAAGCAAACATCTCCAGGAAAGGATGAGAATGATCTGATTTGTCTTTGGATTTTGGATTTTCATGGAAACACAGGGTTATTATTATCCCTGTGCTAAGAACAAGCATAATGCTACAAATTATAGATCTATCGCGTTGAATTTAATCTACAATATAAGACCCAGTTAACAGGTTTTTACTGTAGCATTTTTACAGTCTTTTACTGTTAAAACCACAATCATTTTTTGATTTGCTGCTTTTGACCAGTGATCAGTCACATGACAAATACTCTGAGTGCCCATGAAGCACAGATGGCATTCAGGGGGTTTGTTTGGAGGGTGGCAGAACAAGCTTGACAACACTGGACTGTGACTGGAGCATTGATGGAGGGAAGTGACATTAGACGTGATCCGGAGATGGAGGAAGAATCTAGCAGTAAGAATACAGGAGTAAATGATTGGAGTAAAACTGTCCTTCGTAAGAGAAGGAAACTTAAAGAATGAATTGGGAACTGATCGTGAAAAAGACAGGATGCTGGAAAGGACATTTTCAAGGACATCAGATTTTAAGACACTGATGAAGTTTGCAAATAGTAACGTGATCAATGCAGTAAAACTTACCAAGGCTTTGAAAAAAGCAGTAGGTGATATAGAGAGTGACTCTAAGAAATGGAAATCTTCTAAAAATAAAAAAACAGCAGAAAGTGGTACAGTATACCGAGTAAGAGAGCTTGGTTAAGGGGAGTAATCTCTGGAATTCCAATGGATGTATCCACTGATACAGTAACATATCGGGGTCTAAGGTGATCGAAGCGAAAAGACTGAAATGTGTACGAAATAAAGAGAAAGTAGATAGTCGTTTTGTAATGCTTCAGCAGAACTGCGAGGATTAAAATCATAATTAAAGCAGCTAAACATGTGAGAAGCTGCTAAGAAGAAGTACTGGAGAAGTTATGGTGATTCTGTAGGGGAGAAAGTAGATGTCAGTGAAGTGTGGGGTATGATCAGAAAGATGGGTGGTTTTTAAAGAAACTTTGGTCTACCTGTTCTGAGTAATGTGGAAAGAATAGCTGTGACTAATGAAGAGAAGGCAGAAATGTTAGCAGACGCGTTTGTTAAAGTACACAGTAATGATAACATAACAGAAGTATTGAAAATAAATAGATGGCAATCTAAAAACATCCAAATATCATGATAGAGTAATGACCATCGTGATATGAAATTTACATGAAGTAAAGAGCTGTTGGGGGAGTTAAGCAAACATCTCCAGGAAAGGATGAGAATGATCTGATTTGTCTTTGGATTTTGGATTTTCATGGAAACACAGGGTTATTATTATCCCTGTGCTAAGAACAAGCATAATGCCACAAAAGAAGATATTTTGAAGAATGTTGGTAATCAAAAAGTTGAAGGTAGCCATTGACTTCCATAATATGAAGAAAGAAAGAAAAACTATGGAAGTCAATGGGTACCGTCAGCTGCTTGTTTATGAACATTCTACAGAATAATTGCTTTTGTGTTCAACAGGTTTATTTTTGGATGAACAATCCCTTTAATTCAACACTTACACTTTTTGTAAGTCCTAAAATCAACATTTAGAGAATGACCTATCTCTGTGTTTACCCTTGGAAAATGTATTTTATGTGAGAATTTGTCGCTGGCATTACTGTCACAAGTCACAAATTGATGGTTGGTAATAATGTCAAAAAAAATAAAAATAATAAAACTTACCATCAGCTTTTGTTGGAGGAAAAAAATAGCTTAAAGGTATCGTTCGGCCAAAAATGGAAATTCTGTCATCATTTGCTCACCCTCAAGTCGTTCCAAACCTCTATGACTTTCTTTCTTCTGTTGAACACAAAAGAAGATATTTTGAAGAATGTTGGTAATCAAAAAGTTGATGGTAGCCATTGACTTCCATAATATGAAGAAAGAAAGAAAAACTATGGAAGTCAATGGGTACCGTCAGCTGCTTGTTTATGAACATTCTACAGAATAACTTATTTTGTGTTCAACAGGTTTATTTTTGGATGAACAATCCCTTTAATTCAACACTTACACTTTTTGTAAGTCCTAAAATCAACATTTAGAGAATTACCTATCTCTGTGTTTACCCTTGTGCAGAACTGTAAAGCTGTCATTGTGAATGCCCATTTTCAAGAAAGTGTGTGCATGCCACAATAAACAGGTGAGAGCTGACCTCTTCATTTTCCTGTACTGTATATTGTCACCCTCATATCGTCTTTTATACATTTCAGGCTGCATTTGTATACATCATTTTTCAGTGCTGAGTTGTGAAAATCGCCTGTAGAACAGTACCAAAGCAAATATCTGTGGTTTTAGCTCTTGATTCTGAGTACAAACACTGCTGCGTCTCTTTTAGCAACAAAGTAATACAGTTTCATCATCCGTTTTGATTAAGCTGAAGACTTTATGCTTTGTGAAAGCTTTGCCTAGCAACATCATAACAACAGCGTCCGTATCTGTTCGTAATTCAAGGCGTGCAAAGCGACTTTGACGGATGAGTCCCATTCTGCCGACTACAACAGGAACTGAAGCAGATGTTGTGGCTCACTGATGTCACTGCAGCACGTAACAGTGTGTTCACGTTATTCTGCTGTTTTTCCGTTATGACCGAGGTGATAAGAGTTCATTGAGTCATTCAATGCATCAGCGCTAATCTGACAGCTTGTTTGAAAGACCTTCACACAACAGCTTTCCAGGGTGGACATATGTTGGCAACATTTCGGGCGTGTAAAGGGGCGTTCACACATTGCAGCGACTAACACTACAGCAACTCCGTGACCTCTTTATATGTGTGAAAAGAGCGTTAGTGAGTGTTTCTGTGTGTTTACTCCTGTATGGATGTGTGTTAAGAGCGAGAAGAGGAATTGTTTACAGAGAGAACGGTGTTTGTGGGATGAAGCTGTGCTCTGCTCACATGGAGCCGCTTGTGGTTCACGTTTATGACCTGACTGAGGATGAAGTGCCATAAACCAACCCTGCCAAATGAACACACATGCACACACTCACATCTTCTTCTACAGAAAGTAAGACCTTTTCCATGGACCTCATCTTCATAATGGTTTGTTTTTTTCTTGTCAAATAAAAATTAGTCTGAAATTCATCACATTATGCAATTAAAATGGGTTTTGCCAGAAAGGCCAAGCTGGGGTGCACTTTCCATGAAAAACTCACTGCTTAACTACCATAATACAATTCATTACTGGAGAAGTTAACTAGCTAGTCATGCCTGTTTCTAGAAACCATAGCAAGTGGGTCCCACATCATTGTTTGAAACACATTGGTCAGGAGCTAATGACATCACACTCGTGGTGGACTAATAACTTCTGCTAATTAATCCGTTTGAGACTGAATTAATGTCAGAATAACAAACTGGAGGTACTAGAGCTCATTTTGAAAATGTGCACTCTAAAATTTGACACGACAGGGGGGTTAAGATTTGCTGGTGAGTAGCATGGCTATGGTGGGCAACCAGCTAGACCAACACCAGTCAAGCACTCGCATCAACCAACATGGAAATTCATGCAATAAAAAAAAAAGTCAGGCGCTTAACACTGGCTTGTCCCTGCGAGTGGGGAACCATAATCTAAAGGGTGGTGGTAGTGTTGTTGATTTATGTCTGGATCTCCGTTCCAGGCTGTGAATGACCACAGTTTTATTACAACACCAATCCAACTTTAAAATCCACAAATTTGAACTAAAGTGCAAACTCTTAAAAAAAACATCAACCAAATACAAGTAACAAGCCGTCACGAATGGTCTCTGCTCGTTCTCTTGCACAGTGGCCAAATATGTCCTAATGTATGATAGATAAATCTGGAGGATCTTAGCGAAACTGCAAACTCTGCCAGTGTTGGAGATACTAAAGTAATTTCTTCCATCTATTGTTCCAGTCACGGATATTGTCTTGGCAGGAAGATGTTTTGCTCAGCTTCAGTGCATTCCTGATGAGTACTGAGTAATGAGTTCTTCTCGAAATCTTTAATCATGAAAACCTCAGACCTCGTTCTGGATTAGGAACAAGAGGAGGTTCCTTGCTTTCAGAAATGGTTCAGCAAGTGAATGAGTGATTGGGCCAAAATGTCCGATCGTGCTTTTATTGCATCTGTTATAATATTGACTTACAGTGGGAACCGTTGCACCCCACCCTTCTGTGAAACTGCACACCAGGGCTCCCAGAGCTGGCCGATGGAGCCGACTGCATAGATTGTGAATGCATGCAGTCAAGTATGAGCTCAAAAACGAGCTGTTTTCACAAAACGTTATTTTCTGTTTCATTCTGTCCCAGGCAAGGGTAGCTCCAGTATCTCCTCCGATGTGAGCTCCAGCACTGATCATACGCCCACCAAAGCTCCCAAGAATGTGGCTACCAGTGAAGGTAAACCATCTGGTCTTCATTATGAGCCAAAATGCCTGCTAGGTCCCATTCGCTCTTCCTTTCTGCCCTCTCTCTCTCTCTCTCTCTGTCTTTATGAAATGCTTATCATTTTGTAGCAAACTTATGTGCTTGTAGGATATCCTGGAAATTGAAAACAAACTTGGCATTCAAAACTAACTTGTGGGCCGTTCGTCTTGCAAGCGAGCAGATTGGAAAAATCCCCAGGGCAGGTTAATATCTGGATATTAGCTGCAGGACTGCATAGTGTGTGTCTGTTTTTCTTAGAGGTTCTCTTGAAATTAGGAAAACATCATCGAGATGTTTTTACATTACAGTGGTGTGGATTGCAGCCTTTGCATCCCCGTGCTGTACTGTAAAAATAAGACTAATAAAAAAGACAGTAAATCTGTTAATCCCTATGTGAGTTTGACTTGGTTTATGCATCATATATTCTCATGTACCACAGGACCTCCCCAGCAGATATATTCCACATATAAGATCACTCTAGGGTTGTTTTGTAACCTGATAGGTCTAGCGATTACGACGTTCCTTTCCATTACGGCTAACCATTTGACCCGTGTTGTTATATTTATCAGTGCATGTTTAAACAAACTCATTCATTTATTGGTTCCATAGCCTTTCTAGTTTCATTACTGTAAATAATGCGTGCAAAAAGCTTGTAAATATTTTGACTGTGTATTTGGCGTGGGATCTCTATCTGCTGGGTGCTGAAAACTGAGCTCAACCATCACCTCGTCGCCAACCACATCCGTATGTTGATGAAACCTTTATGCAGTGTATTTGTTTTTGTCTGGACTAAATAATGCTTTACTCTACACACAGGCGCTTCTTACTGCTCAAGCTTGAGTTCACACGTCACTGCATTGCAAAATGTGTTATAGACTAACTGATAATGCAATGCATAGTGTATATTAGCATAAACCGTCTTTGTCTACGGTCTGTTTTCACTTGCATGTGTACTACTGTCATAGTGAGCAAGTTACTAAAAGTTCATTAAACTGTCAACGTGTTTATAGCTAGGGAAATTAGTTCACTTTCAACATTTTTTATAGCTAGTTAAGTTATTAAAATTGTTGACATGTTTATAGATAATTAAAATTATTCAAATGTAAAATTCAATGTAAAATTCAAGTTTATTAGGATTAAAATGCAGCTGCCAACAAATTTATGGTTAGTGAAAATTAGTTATACTGCCTTGATGTCTATAGTCTAATGTTAGTTAAACTATTTTTACAGCTAGCTACAGTTAAACTGTCAACACGTTTACTAGCTCTTGGAATGTTTATAGGTAGTTAAAGTTAGTCAAACTGTCTTCTTGTTTATAGCTAATGTTAATTAAACTGTTTTCAGCTAGTGAATTTATTTAAACCTTCATCATGATTATATAGTTAGTTGAAATTATTCAAATGTCAATTTATAAAGATTAAAGTTCAACTCTCAGCAAATTTATAAAGTTAGTTATTCTGCCTTCATGTTTATAGCTAGTTACACTGTCGACATGTTTATAACTGGTTGACATATCGACAGTAGTTCAATTCTTGGCATGTTTGTAGGTAGTTAAAGTTAGTTAACTGTGGATCACCGGATCGGCTTTCACCGTGGACGAAGCGGAGTCCAGCCCGGAGTCGTCACATGTGGTTGACGCAAGCCTCCTTCGTCAGATCCGCCGGCCGCGCCATTCTCGACCCCGCCGTGTGTGACGCTGTGTTTCGCTGTGAAAGCAAAACTACTTTGTTTGGTCTTCCAAAAGAGGACACGACTAGAAATCAGTGGTTAAGTTGTATTTACAACACTGTTCCAGAACACTTCAACCCAAATATTCAGATGTGTGCAGCGCATTTTATGGAGGACTGTTTCCTGATCCTGGGAGAGTAGACTACAATGCCGGCTGTTCTGACTCACAGACTGTAAGTACGTTTTTTTATATTTAAAGAATTTGCCGCTGATGATTCAAACACGAGTTTTGAGCAGTGTAGAGTAGCACTTGTAGTTTGTCATTTCTCCAATCACTAATGCAGACATGGTTTTATGTTTACGCGGCGCGATGCTACGCAACATAATCAGTAATTATGTCCCCACTGGATGCAACAAATGCCTGGTTTATAATGGGTTTTAATGTTTTTGTCTCGTCGCTCCGGCCGGACAGCGCATCACAGTATGGTGAGGGGCGTAACATTTCCGTCTCACGCTTGAGGTATTCGGCCAATCACAACGCTCTGGATAGCTGGCCAATCACAGCACACCTCGCTTTTCAGACCGATGAGCTTTGTAAAAATCGACGCGTTTCAGAAAGGCGGGACATAGAGGAGAAACAATAATGTACAGTATGTGAAAAATAATGTGTTTTTTAACCTTAAACCGCATAAACACATTTTATTACACCAAATACACAAAATAATGTTCTTTTTAGCAGCATCCTATGACCCCTTTAAGATATTAAATAGCTCAAACATTTGAAAGCAAAGTAGGTTAGAGTATGTTTTTGCAATACATGATCAAGATGTTTAAACTTATGAATTCACTTGAATCCGTTCTTTTTAACTTATCTTTATTCTGCGTTGAGATGCATATTTAAATCTGACATTTAGTTTTAGAGTCAGTATGTGGTTGGGCACCACCACAGCTCCCTGGAAAGCTGTTTTCCAGGTTGACTCTGTTCTTTATACACTGCTATACCCACCCTACTCAGGCTTCACACCAGGGAGTCGGGTCCAACTCCATATTGTCCCCAAAATGGGGCATCTGGTGTGTGTGTGAAAAAGAGTGAGCCAGGTGCTAATAGAGTGTGACCCGTGATTATGGTCGTAGTCATAGTATTTCATAGTTTCTTGGCGCAGACAGGTGGAGCAATGAATATCAACAAACATTTAGCTAAGCAATGCCCGGCATTAATGAGTGCGACACAGTGTGGTGGGCAGGGACATGAAAATGAGGTTAAAGTCAATATTAAGAGCTATGATTAGATGTTTAAGCTGTGTGAAAAACTTGGAAACTATTGCCCCCTAAACTTAACAAAGGAATAATGTGATCATAAAAAGTTGAAATGTTAAGCACACAGCACTGGCCTTTGTACATGATAGGGAGCCAAGAAGGGAACGAAGCTAGTTGCTAAGAATCTAGCCGCTGTTTAAAGTCAACATGAAACAGCATTCGCAACGCATTTTAGTTTTTATAATGTGACGTTTTTACAAGTGCAACAGAATATTCAAAGGGATAAAAAAGGGTGGGACTTTGATTGGATTGTAAAAGGAAGGGTGTTACTGAGTGGAATAGTGCTAGACAATTATGTTAACATGACCTTCGACAAGTTACGTCACTTGAATAGGAAAGTCATTTTAGAGTGTACAGTTGTGGTCAAAATGTCACAGTTGCAGTATCTGCAAAATGTTAATTATTTAACCAAAATAAGATTATTAAGTTATTTTTTATTTACTACAGACCTGAATAAGATATGTCACATAAAAGATGTTCACATATAGTCCACAAGAGAAAATAACAGTTGAATTTATAAAAATGACCCCATTCAAAAGTTTACAAACGCTTGATTCTTAATACTGTATACCTGGATGATCCACAGCTGTGTTTTTAGTTATTGGTTTTTTTTCAGTTGTTCATGAGTCCCTTGTTTGTCCTGAACAGTTCAACTGCCCGCTGTTGCTGTTCTTCAGAAAAATCCTTGAGCTCCCTCTAATTCTTTGGTTTTCCAGCATCTTTTGTGTATTTGAACCCTTTCCAACAATGACTGTATGATTTTGAGATTCATCTTTTCACACTGAGGAGAACTGAGGGACTCATACGCAACTATTACAGAAGCTTCAAACGCTCGCTGATGCTGCAGAAGGAAACACCATGCATTAAGAGCCGAGGGGGGACTTTTTGAATGAGAAGATCGGGGTAAATTTAACTTATTTTGTCTTCTGGGAAACATGTCAGTATCTTCTGGAGCTTCTGAAGGGCAAAAAAAAAACATCTTCATTCTGTTCAAAAGTTTACACCCCTGGCCCTTAATGCATCGTTTTCCCTTCATTTCTTTCTAGACATTAATTAAATCAATTAATTAATTTACTGGACTTTCTTTTTTTATCTCTGTTTTGTCACAGAGGAAGTCAGTCAGTCAGAATGATTTGTTTTTATGAACAATATTCAGATGTGTGTATATGCACAAACACTCACACACAACGTAAAGACCTTGAATCCCTCTATATTTATGCCTTAAGGGCAGGATGAAATCCTCTTGTGTGGGATGGAGCTTCCCACAGGATAACAAACACATGTGAGTGTGTATGAAATGTCAGGATATTTCATACTGTCAGTCAGGAGACTGTTCGGCCACAGCGATGTGTGCTTTCTCCAAGTATGGATATGCCACAAACACACATAATGCCTGGATGAATGACAAAGCCTTGGCATTGTGAACGTCCAACTCTTGCACTGTGGGAAATCACATATGTGTATGTTGTGGAGGCAGTTCACCATATTTTTGGGTGGGGTAATTTTAGTAAAAGAACGTGCTTTTCTGGGTTCTACTACAAACAAAATAAATATACATCCTATGATTGCATTATATTTAAACATGATCCCATGGTAGTACAGGGTCAAAAATCAACACTCGCACACACAAAAATGTCAAACATGAAAAAACAGAATGGAGTATGTGGCCATAATTAGTTAAGTAAATAAAATGGAGCAACTAACCCTAAATTTTAATGCATCGTTTTCCCTTCATTTCTTTCTAGACATTAATTAAATCAATTAATTAATTTACTGGACTTTCTTTTTTTATCTCTGTTTTGTCACAGAGGAAGTCAGTCAGTCAGAATGATTTGTTTTTATGAACAATATTCAGATGTGTGTATATGCACAAACACTCACACACAACGTAAAGACCTTGAATCCCTCTATATTTATGCCTTAAGGGCAGGATGAAATCCTCTTGTGTGGGATGGAGCTTCCCACAGGATAACAAACACATGTGAGTG